ACTCTCATACACACAACCCTTATACACCCAACTCTCATACACACGCCCCTTATACACACCCCACTCTCATACACACAACCCTTATACACCCAACTCTCATACACACGCCCCTTATACACACCCCACTCTCATACACACCCCACTCTCATACACACAACCCTTATACACCCAACTCTCATACACACGCCCCTTATACACACCCCACTCTCATACACACCCCACTCTCATACACACACACCCTTATACACAGCCCACTCTCATACACACACCGCCCCTTATACACACCCCACTTCCTCATACACACCCCACTCTCATACACACAACCCTCATACACCCAACTTCTCATACACACGCCCCTTATACACACAGCCCACTCTCATACACACACACCCCCACTCTCATACACACAACCTCATACACAGCCAACTCTCATACACACGCCCCTTATACACACCCCACTCTCATACACACCCCACTCTCATACACACAACCCTCATACACCCAACTCTCATACACACGCCCCTTATACACACCCCACTCTCATACACACCCCACTCTCATACACACAACACTTCATACACACAACCCCATACACCCAACTCTCATACACACGCCCCTTTATACACACCCCACTCTCATACACACCCCCCACTCCTCATACACACAACCCTTATACACACCCCACTCTCATACACACCCCACTCTCATACACACAACCCTTATACACACCCCACTCTCATACACACCACCCTTATACACACCCCACTCTCTCATACACACCACTCTTATACACACACCACTCTCATACACACGGCCCTTATACACACACCCCTCTCATACACACCACCCTTATACACACCCCACACTGATCCGCTCCGCCCTCATACACCACACTCTACCCATCAAAGGTATATCAAAAATACTGATTTGGGAAAATGTCATAAATTTTGCTTAAAAACAGCTTTGAAATGGAAAAAGTCGCTTGGCGTCACATACGTGTTATCTCAAACAGTTATCAGAAAAGGATAAAACATTGAATTCCTTTGACCCTCCCATAGCTTAAAAGGTGTGTGAGAAATAAGTTGTTGTATATTCATATAAATTAGTTATGACACTGAAACCGCAATAGTGACATATCCTTTTGATAATGACATTCAGGTAAACAAATTTAAGTGAGTGAGTGAGTATGGTTTTACGCCGCTTTTAGCAATATTCCAGCAATATCACGGCGGGGGACGCCAGAAATGGGCTTCACACATTGTACGCATGTGGGGAATCGAACCCGGGTCTTCGGCAGAAAGAGCGAACGCTTCAACCCGTGGGCTAGCCCACCGCTCAAAACAAATTCATTATTAAACTTAAGCAATATGCTGCAGCTGTCCCAAAGAATTGACATAAGATTCATGAACATACAACACTGAGGCTTTATCTCTGTAACCACAGCTACGATGTTCTATGTTATGTTGTTGACAACACGCTGCAGACCAACTGCAAACTGTTTGGTTCTCAAAGTAGATCACATCAAATAACTTTGCTTTAAGGTTCAATCAAATATGATTCATGACACTTTCTTACTCGTTTTTACCAATTCAACAAGAATGAGTGAGTGAGTGAGTTTGGTTTTACGCCGCTTTTAGCAATATTCTAGAAATATCACGGCGGGGGACACCAGAAATGGGCTTCACACATTGTACCCATGTGGAGAATCGAACCCGTGTCCTCCGCGCGACGAGCAAACGCTTTAACCATTAGGCTACCCCACCGCCACAATTCAACAAGAAAGATATGATATTATTTATCATGTTTAAGTGTTACATATGCTATGTTTGGGATTTAGGGATTTGGAAATGACATATGTTGCATTTGACCACTTTCTAAAAGTCATTGTGTAATCATATTGAAGTGATTTTTAACATATTTTAACTATGGAAAATGGTATTTTCTTCTTGATTGAAAAATGATTAAATCTTTATTAACCAAGTAGTTTGTAAGCACTAACAGTGGATGCACAAAACCGTGACAACTATTTTTATTTGATCTTTATTTTATCAGCTCTGATACCACTGTGAAACACAATGTACAGACCTGATGTTCGGAGCGTTGCAGTAATGACGTCGAGATGCATGTTTTAAATCCTTGTCGTGTAGTCATGTCCCAGCACTACATTACTAGATACGTTGTATCATTAAAGACATTCAATGCATCACTTGTTTCACTCTATATGGAATTACCAGTGTTATGCCGTGTGGATGCCATATAGCTGGAATATTTGTAGCAGGGCGTGGAGTCATCCCACAGATGACAGAAATATTATGGCCGCTTTATTTTACTCCCCCGTCAACAGAAGGCACGTCCCGAGCCGCATAGTTGGGTACTGAGACTTATTTCGCTCAAATTTGAGCGCCAATGTAGCGGCCATAAAATTTCCGAGTCCAGTGCTGGGATTCGAACCATGGACCTTCTAATCCGAAGTCGGGCACCTTGTCCACATGACCAAAGAGGTTAACCCCGTCAGCAAGCTGACAAGGTAAGGATGTCATCTGTGGGATGTCAGCAAGCCCTGCTACATATTGCTGAGTGTGGCGTAAAACTAGTGGCAGTGGTGACACGTCATCAGGGTAAATGACACTTTTGTTCAAATTCAACTCTCCTGATCTTCCGTATACTTGTAAGTTCTTTTAGATATATATTTGTGATGAGTTTTCAATTTGATTTAGAGAAGATATTCAACCCGAACGTAAACCGTTATCAAAATGTTTATCATTTGTTTTTCTGGTAACGTGCGGCTTAACGAAGGGGACAGACGCATCAATAGAACAGCGCGTCAGTTAGCCCTGAACAAGGATTGTTAATTTAGGTCATTTAGAAAAGGAATGCAGTTCGCTCTACCACTATGTAGAGTGTAATAAAGCACATTTTCGCCCTGAACTATTATAGTTAAAGCACTAGTCCTTAAAGGTCACGTGCAACCAAAAAATCAGACATAATTAAAACACAATTATCACTTATTCATGCCATATAATATTGCTGATTGTGAAAAAACATATAAACAAAACTATAAGCGAACAATCCCAAATCAAAAGTGCAATATTTTGTACTTGGGTTTACTTTCCAAGAAATGAAGCAGCCGGGATACCAAACCCAGTCAGAGCGGGTGGGTGTGCACTCAAGTGTAACGGCTGGTTCATTTGCAGATGCCCCCACGGCTCATTGTGTGTGTATATATAGAGATGTTGGGTTTTGTAAATACATGCTCTGCACCACGTCCGACTACATAAACCCACAACCACCATATGCATGCCCAGGGCCCACCTTTCCTTAAAACTACACTACGTCCGACTACATAAACCCTCAATATCCAGATGGCAACCACCATATACATGTCCAGGGCACACCTTTTCTTAAACCTACACTACGTCCGACTACATAAACCCTCAACCACCATATACATGCCCAGGGCCCACCTTTTCTTAAACCTACACTACGTCCGACTACATAAACCCTCAATATCCAGATGGCAACCACCATATACATGCCCAGGGCCCACCTTTCCTTAAAACTACACTACGTCCGACTATATAAACCCTCAATATCCAGATGGCAACCACCCGATACATGTCCAGGGCACACCTTTCCTTAAAACTACACTACGTCTGACTACATAAACCCTCAATATCCAGATGGCAACCACCCGATACATGTCCAGGGCACACCTTTCCTTAAAACTACACTACGTCTGACTACATAAACCCTCAATATCCAGATGGCAACCAATTCCTATACATGTCCAGGGCACACCTTTCCTTAAAACTACACTACGTCTGACTACATAAACCCTCAATATCCAGATGGCAACCACCCGATACATGTCCAGGGCACACCTTTCCTTAAAACTACACTACGTCTGACTACATAAACCCTCAATATCCAGATGGCAACCACCCGATACATGTCCAGGGCACACCTTTCCTTAAAACTACACTACGTCTGACTACATAAACCCTCAATATCCAGATGGCAACCACCCTATACATGCCCAAGGCCCACCTCTTCTTAAACCTACACTACGTCCGACTACATAAACCCTCAATATCCAGATGGCAACCACCCTATACATGTCCAGGGCACACCTTTTCTTAAACCTACACTACGTCCGACTACATAAACCCTCAATATCCAGATGGCAACCACCCTATACATGTCCAGGGCACACCTTTCCTTAAAACTACACTACGTCTGACTACATAAAAACCCTCAATATCCAGATGGCAACCAATTCGATACATGTCCAGGGCACACCTTTCCTTAAAACTACACTACGTCTGACTACATAAACCCTCAATATCCAGATGGCAACCACCCTATACATGCCCAAGGCCCACCTCTTCTTAAACCTACACTACGTCCGACTATATAAACCCTCAATATCCAGATGGCAACCACCCTATACATGTCCAGGGCACACCTTTTCTTAAACCTACACTACGTCCGACTACATAAACCCTCAATATCCAGATGGCAACCACCCTATACATGTCCAGGGCACACCTTTCCTTAAACCTACACTACGTCCGACTACATAAACCCTCAATATCCAGATGGCAACCACCCTATACATGTCCAGGGCCCACCTTTCCTTAAACCTACACTAACCTCTGGATCACAGATTTTCATTTATGTTTTACTGACCAGTCATTACGTTAAAACAATATTAAACTGGACAAGGAAGCTTGGTGACATCAGATGGAAAATCAAGGGCGGGTAATTTGATACAACCACTGGAAAAGGTCCAGGCATAAAGAAAGTGAAATATTAGCCTTAGCTGTATGTTTATTGAGGATGGTGGGCTCGTGGGTGGGATTCACTCAATACTGGGTGTTGGTTGAAACTTGGAACTAAAATATATATATATATATATATATATATATATATATGTATATGTATATGTATATGTATATGTATATGTATGTGTATGTGTATATATATATATATAAATTACGTCACTTTGACAATTTATTAATCAGTCCATATCATAAGCTCATGAGAATAGAACTGTTCCTTCAAGGTAAAATGAAACAAATCATTAGAAAGTTATTGCATAACAAAGGAATTTAGCTTCAGCCTGACATGTTGGCATCACTCCCCAGATCTACTACCATGACATCACTCGGGAACAAATGACATGACTCTCCCATCCACACTCCCACACACCAGCGTTGGTCGAGCCGGGTGGAAGGTCTGTGATGACATCACTCAGGAACAAATGACATGACTCTCCCATCCAGACTCCCACACACCAGCGTTGGTCCAGCCGGGTGGAAGGTGACGTCTGTGACGACATCACTCGGGAACAAATGACATGACTCTCCCGTCCAGACTCCCAGACACCAGCGTTGGTCGAGCCGGGTGGAAGGTGACATCTGTGACGACATCGGTGTTGCCTCGCAGTCTGTCGCAGTAGGTCCCTGCGCGCAGGTCATACATATACACCAGTCTGTCCTCCGACCCCGAGGCTAGATACTTCCCACACGGACTGAGGGCGAGTCCACAAGTGTGGGCCTGGTTCAGGTGGCCCTCCAGCCGCTGCACACAGCGCTGCGACCTCATGTCCCACACCTTGATGCAGTCTGCAGCCGCAGCTGATGCAAAGATGTTGTAGGCGGACGACGGCTGTGAGGCGTAGCTGGATCCCTTGTTGAGACATACCGAGTGTACAGGGCGGGTGTGGGTGTCTTGTATGCAGGTGGCTAGGACACCTTGGTTGAGGTCGAACACCTCGATGTCACGGTTGGAACCGGCACAGATGACGAGGTGGGAGTGGAAGGCGTTGATGGCGGCCATGGAAGTAATCGTCTGACTCTGTGTTGCCCAGCTCTGGACCAGCTTGTATCTGAAACAGGCACAGTCATGTGTTGTAATGTTGGACAGTGATAATCATCTCTACTGTTGTTGTGACTGACTGTGATAATCATCTCACCTGTTGTAGTGTGTAACAGTGACAATCACCTCACCTGTTGAAGTGCCTGATGGTGATAATCATCTCTACTGTCGTTGTGACTGACCGTGATAATCATCTCACCTGTTGTAGTGTGTAACAGTGACAATCACCTCACCTGTTGTAGTGCCTGATGGTGATAATCATCCCACCTGTTGTAGTGACTGACAGTGGTAATCATCTCACCTGTTGTAGTGTGTAACAGTGACAATCACCTCACCTGTTGTAGTGCCTGATGGTGATAATCATCTCACCTGTAGTGGTGACTGACAGTGGTAATCATCTCACCTGTTGTAGTGACTGACAGTGATAATCATCTGACCTGTTGCTGTGACTGACAGTGATAATCATCTCACCTGTTGCTGTGACTGACAGTGATAATCATCTCACCTGTTGCTGTGACTGACAGTGATAATCATCTGACCTGTTGTAATGACTGACAGTGATAATCATCTGACCTGTTGTAATGACTGACAGTGAAAATCATCTCACCTGTTGTAGTGACTGACAGTGATAATCATCTGACCTGTTGCTGTGACTGACAGTGATAATCATCTGACCTGTTGCTATGACAGTGATAATCATCTGACCTGTTGTAATGACTGACAGTGATAATCATCTCACCTGTTGTAATGACTGACAGTGATAATCATCTCACCTGTTGTAGTGACTGACAGTGATAATCATCTGACCTGTTGTAATGACTGACAGTGATAATCATCTGACCTGTTGTAATGACTGACAGTGATAATCATCTCACCTGTTGTAGTGACTGACAGTGATAATCATCTGACCTGTTGCTGTGACTGACAGTGATAATCATCTGACCTGTTGCTATGACAGTGATAATCATCTGACCTGTTGTAATGACTGACAGTGATAATCATCTCACCTGTTGTAGCATTGTAGAGAGCTAATTAACTCACCTGCTTTTGGTCAGGTATCTCTTGATTTCATCCCTGGCTACATCCAGGTAATACTTGTACAGGTGTAGAGAGCTAATTAACTCACCTGCTTTTGGTCAGGTATCTCTTGATTTCATCCCTGGCTGCGTCCAGGTAATACTTGTACAGGTGTAGAGAGCTAATTAACTCACCTGCTTTTGGTCAGGTATCTCTTGATTTCATCCCTGGCTACATCCAGGTAATACTTGTACAGGTGTAGAGAGCTAATTAACTCACCTGCTTTTGGTCAGGTATCTCTTGATTTCATCCCTGGCTGCGTCCAGGTAATACTTGTACAGGTGTAGAGAGCTAATTAACTCACCTGCTTTTGGTCAGGTATCTCTTGATTTCATCCCTGGCTGCGTCCAGGTAATACTTGTACAGGTGTAGAGAGCTAATTAACTCACCTGCTTTTGGTCAGGTATCTCTTGATTTCATCCCTGTCTACATCCAGGTAATACTTGTACAGGTGTAGAGAGCTAATTAACTCACCTGCTTTTGGTCAGGTATCTCTTGATTTCATCCCTGGCTACATCCAGGTAATACTTGTACAGGTGTAGAGAGCTAATTAACTCACCTGCTTTTGGTCAGGTATCTCTTGATTTCATCCCTGGCTGCGTCCAGGTAATACTTGTACAGGTGTAGAGAGCCGCCACAAGTCAGCAGGACAAACTTGTCCATGTAGAAGAACTGGCCGTGTCTAACCTCCCTGTTAAATGATGCGTTGCTTTTGTCTGTCTTCACCTGGTAATAACGAGAAGCCTGTGAGCGGCACACCAGTGGTGGAGTAGCACATTCAACTGACAACTACTGATGCACTGATTCATGAAGCATTCAGATAACATACAGTCCCCCGATACAACAATATCATATACCAGCATGTTTGGTGACTGGGTTTTGTCATATTTCTACTTTTTCCTGAAATTTAGTGCAGACAGAACATCCAGGAAGCATCACCAAGATAAATAAAGATTTCCTGATGGACTCAATATATTTGATCAAAAATAATTTCTTCATATGACATATACTGTTTAACAATGATTGGCGCTATTTCTCGTTTTTGAAACATTTATATATCATTCACATTGTACATTCATCATGACATGTTTACTCTTCCTTCCATTGTATCCTGCATTCTCTTCCCACAGAGGTTACTTGTCATATCTTCCTACGAACCTCTGTTCTAATACGGCCATATTTCCCGGTTCTCGTAAAATCCCCTAGAGGCAAAAGATTGCAACACGAATTATCTCCCTTCTTTCTATCCAATCAGAACACTTGTTACATCGACTTAGATTCAACTTGACTAACACAAGCAAATGTGGGGCAACAAATATCCCCATCTGACGGGGAATTGTGTTGATGTTAGACACAAGACGTTTAATGGCTAGCTTGTCCGTTGTCAACGTGGGCGATGGAGACGCCACTGATCCGCCATAACATTACTGAGTTCTGTCTAGAAGAAACGTTTACGCATCGCGCAGGGAAGAAATTTAGTTTTTTTCGAAGCATACGGAAATTACCGAGGCCTTGCGAATGATCACTTTTGAAACAACGTCGCTGATTGCACAACTAAATCTGATTGCCTCCAATCACGAGTCTTGAACGCTCACACCATGAAAGGGCCGTATTTGAACAGAGGTTACGTAGGAAGATATGACAGGAGTAACCTCTGTGGGAAGAGAATGTGTATCCCGGAGCGGTATTCATATAAGCCTATGCTTGTTTACCAATCCGGTTCCTTTCTTTGGAAATAAATATGTTTAAATCGGACTCAATATAACATGCTGATTAGGTGCTTCTGTAGAGTTATGGACAGATTTCAGTCATGAAACATGTTATACATGTATTTGGTGTTACACTTTCTCTGTAAAATACAGATTCTAGTACTTATTGGGGGTTGGATCCAATCCAAGATTCACACCCACACAATGAGAGTCAGGCACCTAATCGCCAGCACACTAAGTCAGTGTTGGTAGAGGGCACACACAGGTGAACCTAGGTCTTTGTCAAGACAAGCAAGTTCTTTTACTGCTTGCCAATGTGTGCATCTTCAGTGCAATGATGATATTCCTGTAACATCTCAGTATGATGTTAAATGTGGGAGATATTCCTGTAACATCTCAGAATGATGTTAAATGTGGGAGATATTCCTGTAACATCTCAGAATGATGTTAAATGTGGGAGATATTCCTGTAACATCTCAGAATGATGTTAAATCTGGGAGATATTCCTGTAACATCTCAGTACAATGTTAAATGTGGGAGATATTCCAGTAACATCTCAGAATGATGTTAAATGTGGGAGATATTCCTGTAACATCTCAGAATGATGTTAAATGTGGGAGATATTCCAGTAACATCTCAGAATGATGTTAAATGTGGGAGATATTCCTGTAACATCTCAGTACGATGTTAAATGTGGGAGATATTCCAGTAACATCTCAGAATGATGTTAAATGTGGGAGATATTCCTGTAACATCTCAGAACGATGTTAAATGTGGGAGATATTCCAGTAACATCTCAGAATGATGTTAAATGTGGGAGATATTCCAGTAACATCTCAGAATGATGTTAAATGTGGGAGATATTCCTGTAACATCTCAGAATCATGTTAAATGTGGGAGATATTCCAGTAACATCTCAGAATGATGTCAAATGTGGGAGATATTCCTGTAACATCTCAGTATGATGTTAAATGTGGGAGATATTCCTGTAACATCTCAGAATGATGTTAAATGTGGGAGATATTCCTGTAACATCTCAGAATGATGTTAAATGAGGGAGATATTCCTGTAACATCTCAGAATGATGTTAAATGTGGGAGATATTCCTGTAACATCTCAGAATGATGTTAAATCTGGGAGATATTCCTGTAACATCCAAATGTGGAGATTGTAACATCTCAGAATGATGTTAAATGTGGGAGATATTCCAGTAACATCTCAGAACGATGTTAAATGTGGGAGATATTCCTGTAACATCTCAGTACGATGTTAAATGTGGGAGATATTCCTGTAACATCTCAGAATGATGTTAAATGTGGGAGATATTCCTGTAACATCTCAGAATGATGTTAAATGTGGGAGATATTCCTGTAACATCTCAGAATGATGTTAAATGTGGGAGATATTCCTGTAACATCTCAGTGTGGATGATGTTAAATGTGGGTGGGAGATATTCCTGTAACATCTCAGAATGATGTTAAATGTGGGAGATATTCCTGTAACATCTCAGAATGATGTTAAATGTGGGAGATATTCCTGTAACATCTCAGAATGATGTTAAATGTGGGAGATATTCCTGTAACATCTCAGAATGTTAAATGTGGAGATATTCCAAACATCTGAATGATGTCAAATGTGGGAGATATTCCAGTAACATCTCAGTACGATGTTAAATGTGGGAGATATTCCAGTAACATCTCAGAATGATGTTAAATGTGGGAGATATTCCTGTAACATCTCAGAATGATGTTAAATGAGGGAGATATTCCAGTAACATCTCAGAATGATGTTAAATGTGGGAGATATTCCTGTAACATCTCAGAATGATGTTAAATGTGGGAGATATTCCAGTTACATCTCAGAATGATGTTAAATGTGGGAGATATTCCTGTAACATCTCAGAATGATGTTAAATGTGGGAGATATTCCTGTAACATCTCAGAATGATGTTAAATGTGGGAGATATTCCTGTAACATCTCAGAATGATGTTAAATGTGGGAGATATTCCTGTAACATCTCAGAATGATGTTAAATGAGGGAGATATTCCAGTAACATCTCAGAATGATGTTAAATGTGGGAGATATTCCTGTAACATCTCAGTAATGATGTTAAATGTGGAGATATTCCTGTAACATCTCAGAATGATGTTAAATGTGGGAGATATTCCAGTAACATCTCAGAATGATGTTAAATGTGGGAGATATTCCTGTAACATCTCAGAATGATGTTAAATGTGGGAGATATTCCTGTAACATCTCAGAATGATGTTAAATGTGGGAGATATTCCAGTAACATCTCAGAATGATGTCAAATGTGGGAGATATTCCAGTAACATCTCAGTATGATGTTAAATGTGGGAGATATTCCTGTAACATCTCAGAATGATGTTAAATGTGGGAGATATTCCTGTAACATCTCAGAATGATGTTAAATGTGGGAGATATTCCTGTAACATCTCAGAATGATGTTAAATCTAAGAGATATTCCAGTAACATCTCAGAATGATGTTAAATGTGGGAGATATTCCTGTAACATCTCAGTATGATGATGTTAAATGTGGGAGATATTACAGTAACATCTCAGAATGATGTTAAATGTGGGAGATATTCCAGTAACATCTCAGAATGATGTTAAATCTGGGAGATATTCCTGTAACATCTCAGAATGATGTTAAATGTGGGAGATATTCCTGTAACATCTCAGAATGATGTTAAATGTGGGAGATATTACAGTAACATCTCAGAATGATGTTAAATGTGGGAGATATTCCTGTAACATCTCAGAATGATGTTAAATCTGGGAGATATTCCTGTAACATCTCAGAATGATGTTAAATCTGGGAGATATTCCTGTAACATCTCAGAATGATGTTAAATGTGGGAGATATTCCAGTAACATCTCAGAATGATGCTAAATGTGGGAGATATTCCAGTAACATCTCAGAATGATGTTAAATGAGGGAGATATTCCTGTAACATCTCAGTATGATGTTAAATGTGGGAGATATTCCTGTAACATCTCAGAATGATGTTAAATGTGGGAGATATTCCTGTAACATCTCAGAATGATGTTAAATGTGGGAGATATTCCTGTAACATCTCAGAATGATGTTAAATGAGGGAGATATTCCAGTAACATCTCAGAATGATGTTAAAAGTGGGAGATATTCCTGTAACATCTCAGAATGATGTTAAATGTGGGAGATATTCCTGTAACATCTCAGAATGATGTTAAATGTGGGAGATATTCCTGTAACATCTCAGAATCATGTTAAATGTGGGAGATATTCCTGTAACATCTCAGAATGATGTTAAGTCTGGGAGATATTCCTGTAACATCTCAGAATGATGTTAAATGTGGGAGATATTCCTGTAACATCTCAGAATGATGTTAAATGTGGGAGATATTCCTGTAACATCTCAGAATGATGTTAAATGTGGGAGATATTCCATTAACATCTCAGAATGATGTTAAATGTGGGAGATATTCCTGTAACATCTCAGAATGATGTTAAATGTGGGAGATATTCCAGTAACATCTCAGAATGATGTTAAATGTGGGAGATATTCCTGTAACATCTCAGAATGATGTTAAATGTGGGAGATATTCCAGTAACATCTCAGAATGATGTTAAATGTGGGAGATATTCCAGTTCTCAGTAACATCTCAGAATGATGTTAAATGTGGGAGATATTCCTGTAACATCTCAGAATGATGTTAAATGTGGGAGATATTCCAGTAACATCTCAGAATGATGTTAAATGTGGGAGATATTCCAGTAACATCTCAGAATGATGTTAAATGTGGGAGATATTCCTGTAACATCTCAGAATGATGTTAAATGTGGGAGATATTCCAGTAACATCTCAGAATGATGTTAAATGTGGGAGATATTCCTGTAACATCTCAGAATGATGTTAAATGTGGGAGATATTCCTGTAACATCTCAGAATGATGTTAAATGTGGGAGATATTCCAGTAACATCTCAGAATGATGTCAAATGTGGGAGATATTCCAGTAACATCTCAGTATGATGTTAAATGTGGGAGATATTCCTGTAACATCTCAGAATGATGTTAAATGTGGGAGATATTCCTGTAACATCTCAGAATGATGTTAAATGTGGGAGATATTCCTGTAACATCTCAGAATGATGTTAAATCTAAGAGATATTCCAGTAAAATCTCAGAATGATGTTAAATGTGGGAGATATTCCTGTAACATCTCAGTACGATGTAAAATGTGGGAGATATTCCAGTAACATCTCAGAATGATGCTAAATGTGGGAGATATTCCTGTAACATCTCAGAATGATGTTAAATCTAAGAGATATTCCTGTTACATCTCAGTATGATGTTAAATGTTGGAGACATCCCAGTAACATCTCAGAATGATGTTAAATGTGGGAGATATTCCTGTAACATCTCAGAATGATGTTAAATGTGGAGATATTCCAGTAACATCTCAGAATGATGTTAAATGTGGGAGATATTCCTGTAACATCTCAGAATGATGTTAAATGTGGGAGATATTCCAGTAACATCTCAGAATGATGTTAAATGTGGGAGATATTCCTGTAACATCTCAGAATGATGTTAAATGTGGGAGATATTCCTGTAACATCTCAGAATGATGTTAAATCTGGGAGATATTCCAGTAACATCTCAGAATGATGTTAAATGTGGGAGATATTCCTGTAACATCTCAGAATGATGTTAAATGTGGAGATATTCCTGTAACTTCTCAGAATGATGTTAAATGTGGGAGATATTCCTGTAACATCTCAGAATGATGTTAAATCTGGGAGATATTCCAGTAACATCTCAGAATGATGTTAAATGTGGGAGATATTCCTGTAACATCTCAGAATGATGTTAAATGTGGGAGATATTCCAGTTACCTCTCAGTATGATGTTAAATCTGGGAGATATTCCTGTAACATCTCAGAATGATGTTAAATGGGGGAGATATTCCAGTAACATCTCAGAATGATGTTAAATGTGGGAGATATTCCTGTAACATCTCAGAATGATGTTAAATGTGGGAGATATTCCAGTAACATCTCAGTACGATGTTAAATGTGGGATGTTAAATGTGGGAGACATCCCAGTAACATCTCAGAATGATGTTAAAGGTGGGAGATATTCCAGTAACATCTCAGAATTATGTTAAATCTGGGAGGAAGGAAACGATCATAATCAGGGATTGAAACCGCTCACAACCCACTTCAGAGTATCCTGGCACATCAAGGGAACAGAACTCTTCACAAACGAGTAGAGCACTAGGGCAGTCAATCCTTCCTTACAATCCTTTCTTACAGTCAATCATTCCTTACAACTGATTATTTCTTACAGTCAATCATTCCTAACAATCCTTCAGAGGTACAGATAAGCTGCGAATCTGCGTAAATTACGCAAATATTTATGCGAAAACTCAATTCCTATTACGTCTGTTGCGTACAAGTATGCTGGTATTTTTGTAAATGCTCAATAAATTTGATTGTACATGTGTACACAGAAAACTGTCAAATCTTAGTTTGCATAACAGTGGATAGATGGAGGAACTGAGGTATATTTAGAGGTTCTATTTCGGCACATGAACACTCAACTAGCAGTCTTTCATATCATTTCTCATATAACAGATCAAATATAAATAACAAACACTAACATTTAAACTTTATTATATTTTTACAATTAATGGAAAAAGTCAAAACACCCAATTGATTCTGAGTGAGGTGAGTACAGTTTGTTTGGTAACTCAAAGGAAAATTAGGATACCCAATTGAGATGAAGACAAGCGGGTACATAACTCAACAACCCAAAAAGTTATCTGTAGCTCTGATCCTTCCTTACAGTCAGTCATTCCTTACAATCATTCCTTACAATTGATTATTTCTTACAGTCAATCATTCCTTACAATCATTCCTTACAGTCATTCCTTACAATCATTCCTTACAATTGATTATTTCTTACAGTCAATCATTCCTTACAATCCTTCCTTACAATCGATTTTTCCTTCCAATCAGTCCTTGCTGACAATCAATCATTTCTTACAATCCAACAGTCTTTACAATCAATCATTCCTTACTGACAGGCAGTCATTACAATCAATCATTTGTAACAATCAATCATTCTTTACAATGAATGGCTGACTGCATTACCTGCTCCTTATTAACGGACATATTGTCGCAAAACGTCTCAAACTTCAGCAGCGGTTCACTTGATCCTTTGGTCCAGATGGAGGCTGTTTTGTCATCTGATGAGGTGATGATCATGGAACTGCTGTGATTCCAGGCCACAGAATTAACATTTCCGTTATGTCCTACATACACGCGGCTCACATTCTCACCAATTGGAAACTTGAATATTGAGGCTGTTTTGTTAGCAAGGGCACAAGCCACACTATGAGCATCGTCTGAGAAGGACACCCGATTGACCGGAGTAGGTCGCTCAGCGACGCTGACCCTGTCTTGTAGTTCCGTTGGGGGATCACTGTCCAGGGGGTATTCTACATTAAACAGTTTATTTTCTGATGATGATTTTTTTAACGGTGATGTTGACTTCATCGGTTTGTTGATTTTGGGTTTAAACATGGTTGTCCTAGGGGCTTGTGTGTAACCGGATGATTTTACCTTAGGTTTAAAGGTCAAAGCTTGGTTCATCGGGTCAGATTTTGTCCTTTTGTCATAGCTTGGTGTTTTCACTGTTTTTGTTTTGGAGGTCTCAGGTTTCGACTGTGGAATCAACTCGGACTTTAATGGAGATTTCTCACACAAAGTCTTTACAGCTACAACACACAAACCTGAATCACCATCCTCATCTCCGCCCGCTTCAAGATCAACCAAACCTGATATGACGTGGGTTAAGGACGAATCAAAATCTGTATTTCTGTTACACAAACCTGAATCAGACAATTCTAAATGAACCACGTTTAGTTCATTATCAAACATTGTGCCCAGGAGTGCCCACAGACCTGCGGCGCCAGGATTCTGTGCGATGGTTGCAACTTCGGCAGTATTGACACACCTTGACCCTCCATCCAGACCAACGCTTGGCAGAGAATCGTGTAGATCTGTGAAGTCTAAAATCTCCAGGTTCTTAGCATTGAGCTGAAGCATGGCACCTGTGGTGACAACAACCAGCACAGGAGGCCGTGACGCCAGGAGGTCATTGACAGTGGATTTCCCAAACTGTGGCGCCATGTCTGTTGTTTCCACGTGGGTGGAGTGATAAGAGAAACATACACACAGCACAGCCTGACCCTGCTCTGATGTTGTCTCAATATCAACATCTTTTGAATTCGACTTTTTCCAAGTCCCTCGCTTTGTGACTGTCATAGTCCCTTTTTCATTTGTTTTACTTTTTAAATTTGCAATTCTTTCCCGCTGCTTTGAAACAGCTTTAGACACATCAACTTGATGTAAGCTACGAAAGTTATTGCCATCAGTGAGATCATACGTTCTGAGTATGCCATCCGTTGAGCCAATCGTAACGTGGGGAGACGACCAGTTCATCGCGAGGCTGATAAGAGATGATGATGTGATGATGGCAGATTCGTACACAAGAGACAACATCCTGGTGTCCCACACCTTGAACGTCCGGTCGTCTGATATCGTAACAAGTGTGGATGTATAATGAGGGCAAAATTCCGCTCGCGTGACGGGACCATTGTGCCCTTCAAGCTCGGCAATTACCGACTGAAAGTTGGACGTAAGAATAATAACCTTGTCACCAGCACACGCAGCAACAAGAGAATCATCGACGTTAAAACAACAGAACTGCACTTGGCCTAAAGTTGTTCCCACGATCTGACCAGTGACGCGTTCGCCCCTCGTATATTTCTCACGTGCAGTGTGGATATTCCAAACAATTACATAATCACCAGCCGCTGAGCAGAGAAGTTTAGGATTTGTGTTAAATCCAAAACACAAGGAGGTGATCGGTTGTCGGTGTCCCGTCAAAATCACCGGTTCCGATTGTAAACTTTGAAAACACCATATCCCAATATCTGTCTTCTTTGTCGGCACGGCAAAGTAAACTCCGTCGTTTGCCGGTTCGATGCGATCCTGATTGTAGCCCCTCGGAACAGTAAATCTGTGAGTTGCTGTCATGACGCCTAACTGAATTCAGTGAATCAGTTTGCACATTTTAATTTCATATGCACATCGATTCTCTCGTTGCGAATCACGCTTTCTGGTTACTGTGCACACAGCGCCATCTATAGTCTTCAAATTTATTTAGAGTTACGTCCCCTGGGAAGTAAACCCCGTTTTCTCACTCTGAGAACAGCGCTAGATATCTCACTAGTTGGTATTACGTAGGGAAGGGTTACAGAAGGAATTTATGTCTGAGAATTATTATTTTTCAGCTACATCTACGTAACGAGACGTTTGTTGTGATTCCAGCAAAGAGTCTAAAATATTTTGTAACAATGATATTAAATTTGTGGCAAACAGCCTGTTATAACCAAGAGTGTGGAACAAAGACAATTGTTTCAACTTTTTTTTTTTCGACAAAATCCCACGTATAACGTTTTGCTATAGAAATAAAGTGTGGAGAGTACAAGTTCATAAATTCTGGATTTTTGTACTTGTTACAAGGATATTCGACAGTTAAACAAATCGATGATTGTTCTTCAACAGCTTGTCGTGTTTATGTCAGAACTGAAAGTTGGTAGTCGTGAGCAGAAAACAGTCACTGCGATCGACACATTCTGTATTTGTTTTCTATATCGGTTTGTCATTAGTTCAGCACGTGACTTTGTTTTCAGCGGAATATGTTCTTCAAAGTCGCCATTATTTTTCACGTGGAACCAGTCCCACGTAAAAATAATATCGTCTTTTCGGACCATAGCCTATCCAAGCCCTTTCCCCTGTAACCCAGTCAGCTAATACGGTACAGCTCTAACACTGTAGCTGACAGAAATCACTGCTGTCTACGTAAACTTGGGCTCAGTAAAATACGTTATAATACTGAGCCTAAGTTTACTTAGACTGGAAATCACCGAGGAGTTCAGCTTTAATGAAAGGCATCACTGAAGATTTTGCGGCATGATATACTTCGTATCCACTTAGATGTACAGGTTAACGTCGCGCTCACTTATACGCCATGAATATGGCCTGTGAACAGCGAGTCCAGGCCAGACAATCCAGTGACTGACCACCACGAGCCTGCATCTACACAGTTGAGTTACTATCACATGCATCAACCAAGTCAGCGAGTCTGACCACCCGCTCCCGTTTGTCGTCTCTTGCGACAAGCTGGGTTGCTCAAGGCGAGTTCTCACCCAGAGCTTCACCCGTCTAAGACTGACTGACTGAGTTTAGTTTTACGCCGCTTTTAGCAATATTCCAGCAATATCACGGCGGGGGACACCAGAAATGGGCTTCACACATTGTGCCCATGTGGGGAATCGAACCCGGGTCTTCGGCGTGACGAGCCAACGCTTTAACCACTAGGCTACCCCACTGCCCCTCACCCGTCCAAGACATATAGTGCATGCCAAATGCCAAGAGATTGCGCTCTCTCTGCAACCAGATGAGACCACTAGTGACCTGAGTATAATTACCCGTAAAAACAGCCCACTATGTGATTGTCAAGACGCCGTCTTATAACTTTCTTAAATGATTGGTTGGTTTGTTGTTTTACGCCGCAATTAGCAACATTCCAGCTATATGGAGATCAACATCGTGGGCATGGTTCATACGATGACGTGTCGATCAAGTCAGCAAGCCTGACCACCCGATCCCGTTAGTCGCCTCTTACGACAAGCATGGGTTACTGAAGACCAATTCTAACCCGGATCTTTCTTTAGGTGAAGTCGAGGAGGTGGGGTAGACTAGTGGTTAAAGCGTTCGCTCGTCACGCTGAAGACCCGGGTTCGAGTCCCTACATGGGTACAATGTGCGAAGCCCATTTGTGTTGTCACGCTGAAGACCACCGTGATATTGCTGGCATATTGCTAAAAGCGGCATAAATCCACACTCACTCACTTAAGGTGAAGTCACACCATAGGTGTTTGAGTGTTCTTGTATTCACTGGGTAAAGGGATGGTTCATAAGTATACTTTTCCTCCTTTAAATTAAAAAAAGTATCAGTGTATATATTGCTTCTCCGTTACCGGAGCGCGACAATGAAGTATATGAGCCCATGGACGACACATGTGAATGTTGCGTTGCGTTGTTTCTGAACATTTAGACACTTCCGTATACTCCCCAGGGAGTTGAGATTGATAACACGTTGTGCCGTTGAGATTGACATCCAATGATAGAGGGAAACAATACCAGCACCTTGAGCAAGCACTAGTTGCCTGGATATGTGCGCTATATAAATATCGTATATTATTCCGTGACGAACTCAGCGTCTTAGAATATATTTGTGAACGCCAGAGAATGTGACACGTTGTGACCTTTTCTTGTATTCATGTATCGCATACACACGGAAAAACCCGAGCATTTTGGAATGAATGCACAATGCATTATAGATAGCTATAAAATGTAACATGATATATCTTGGATTACACCTTCTCAGTAAAGTACAGACTCTGCTACATTTGGGGGTTGAGTCCGATCTGGGATTACACCTTCTCAGTAAAGTACAGACTCGGCTACATTTGGGGGTTGAGTCCGATCTGGGATCTTAGAGTGAGGCACCTCATCACCTGCACACAAAGTGCTACCCAGGATTCGAACCCCAAACCGACATGTTGAGAAAAGTGCGCCGCCATCTGACTTTCTTTAAAGCAGGGTGTGCTTTCGTCACCACTCGCCTTTTCCGAAACCTTTAAATAATCGGGTCTTCCCGAATAACACAAGTTGGTCACGAATGTACTGATTGCTACATCATGGCTTTTAACCGACATCTGTTGAGCTTCATTGTTCAGACTTGTTCACAGAAAATGATGACTTCATTCGGACAAGGTGTGTCATCTTAATTCCAACTGGTGTTTGGTCAGATGGCAGCCCGCGCCTGTATTGTATAAGCTGATTGACATAAAGTGTGTCAGACAACTGGAATCTGTGGTTGACAACTGGAATCTGTGGTTGACAACTGCTTTGATTGACTCATCGAGTGATGCTTTAACAAACTGAGTGATCGCCAGTGGAATTAATTGACCTGTTGTGTAATTGACAACTTGTTTAACCGAATATGCGATTGACAGGTGCGTTGACTGACCTAGCTGGCGACTGACGGCTTGTTTCTCTTAACAGACTGTGATTGTCAGTTGACTGAATGAGTGTGTGATTGACAACTGGTTTAACAAATTGTGTTATATTGGCAGAGATGTGTGATTAGTTGTTAGTGTGGTTGGTTGTTTGTGTGATAGGCTGTTAGTGTGATTGGTTATTTGTTAATGATTGGTTGTTGGTGTGATTAGTTGTTGGTGTTATTGGTTGTTTATGTGAGTGGTTGTTTGTTAGTGATTGGTTGATAGTGTTGTTAGTGATTGGTTGATGGTGTGATTGTGGATGTTGCGATTGGTTGTTTTGGATTAGGTGTGATTGGTTGTTTGTGTGATTGGTTGTTTGTGTGATTGGTTGTTTGTGTGATTGGTTGTTGGTGTGATTGGTTGTTTGTGTGATTGGTTGTTTGTGTGAGTGGTTGTTTGTGTGAGTGGTTGTTTGTTAGTGATTGGTTGATAGTGTGATTGGTTGATATTGTGATTGGTTGTTTGTTAGTGATTGGTTGATAGTGTGATTGGTTGTATGTTAGGGGGCGGTGGGGTAGCCTAGTGGTTAAAGCGTTGGCTCGTCACGCCGAAGACCAGGGTTCGATTCCCCACATGGGCACAATGTGTTAAGCCCATTTCTGGTGTCCCCCGCCGTGATGTTGCTGGAATATTGCTAAAAGCGGCGTAAAACTAAACTCAGTCAGTCAGTCAGTCAGTGGTTGTTTGTTAGTGATTGGTTGATATAGTGATTGGTTGTTTGTTAGTGATTGGTTGATATAGTGATTGGTTGTTTGTGTGATTGGTTGTTTGTTAGTGATTGGTTGTTTGTGTGATTGGTTGTTGGTGTGATTGGTTGTTGGTGTGATTGGTTGTTGGTGTTATTGGTTGTTAGTGTGATTGGTTGTTGGTGTGATTGGTTGTTAGTGTGATTGGTTGTTGGTGTGATTGGTTGTTAGTGTGATTGGTTGTTTGGTTAGTGTGATTGGTTGTTGGTGTGATTGGTTGTTGGTGTGATTGGTTGTTGGTGTGATTGGTTGTTAGTGTGATTGGTTGTTAGTGTGATTGGTTCTTGGTGTGATTGGTTGTTAGTGTGATTGGTTGTTGGTGTGATTGGCTGTTGATATAGTGATTGGTTGTTGGTGTGATTGGTTGTTAGTGTGATTTGTGGATATAGCGATTGGTTGTTAGTGTGATTTGTGGATATAGCGATTGGTTGTTGGTGTGATTGGTTGTTGGTGTGATTGGCTGTTGGTGTTATTGGCTGTTGGTGTGATTGGTTGTTGGTGTGATTGGTTGTTAGTGTGATTGGTTGTTAGTGTGATTGGTTGTTGGTGTGATTGGCTGTTGGTGTGATTGGTTGTTAGTGTGATTGGCTGTTGGTGTGATTGGTTGTGTGATTTGTGGATATAGCGATTGGTTGTTAGTGTGATTTGTGGATATAGCGATTGGTTGTTGGTGTGATTGGTTGTTAGTGTGATTTGTGGATATAGCGATTGGTTGTTAGTGTGATTTGTGGATATAGCGATTGGTTGTTGGTGTGATTGGTTGTTGGTGTGATTGGTTGTTGGTGTGATTGGTTGTTGGTATGTGATTGGTTGTTGGTGTGATTGGTTGTTGGTTTGTTTGTTAGTGATTGGTTGTTAGTGTGATTGGTTGTTAGTGTGATTGGTTGTTGTGTGATTGGTTGTTGGTGTGATTGGTTGTTGGTGTGATTGGTTGTTGGTGTGATTGGTTGTTAGTGTGATTTGTTGGATATTGTTTGTTAGTGATTGGTTGTTGGTGTGATTGGTTGTTAGTGTGATGTTTAGTGTTGATTAGTTGTTAGTGTTATTGGTTGTTAGTTGTTGATATGATTGGTTGTTGGTTGTTGGTGTGCGTGTAATTGGTTGTTGGTGGATTTGTGGATATAGCGATTGGTTGTTAGTGTGATTTGTGGATATAGCGATTGGTTGTTGGTGTGATTGGTTGTTGGTGTGATTGGTTGTTGGTGTGATTGGTTGTTGGTGTGATTGGTTGTTGTGTGATT